TCATCATGAAAATGATGTGACAGCAGCACTACTCTCAACATTTGTTATCCATTTTTTTCCATGCAGGTAATAAATTAGTAACAGCTTTTTTTTTTTGCTCACACATATAAACCCAACAGTTATCACAAAGCTTTTTCTGCAATTTATTATTATAAATAGCAACTACTAATGCTGAAAAGGAAAATTATGAGAACATAAATGTTTCTGTTTTTCTAATCTGCTTTAGGAGATCCATAAATCTTTTTCATAAATCCAGCTAAGTCCTTGTGTGCAAGCTTTTTATATAGCAAAAGGAAAACCTAATTTAAAAAAAAAAAAATCTCATAAAACTTATCAGAGTAATTAAGCATTGATGTCTAGTGTCTAAAATTCCTTTAAAGTTGTGTTTTCAAAATGACTAAATTTCAGGTTTAATATTTATTTCAAGAATGCAAAAATATTATTTTGGCAGGAATTTTGTTGTTAAGTCTAATATATATTAGGCACACACACACAAAAGAGACTGTGCAGCCCTGGGTAGTGCATAAGAGGCAAATGATACCAGCAGACAGGAAAAGAGCAGCTGTGCACCATTCTTGGACACAAAGTCCTCAAGAGTCACGAGGTTAGCACAGGATCTTTTTTTTTTATGCTTGGTTTTGCTGACTACGGTCACTTAGTCAACTATAATAATCAGAATAAAAGTCCTCTCCTAAAGTTAGATTAGTTTTATGCTACTCTATGGCAAGGAAAAGTAAGTCAAATCTCTCCGAATTTTATCTAGAAGAAAATAAAGATCAGATATATGAAAATGCCCTTGCTGAGATCCAGTCCTTTGAGCTGCCTCTTGGAACCACCTTAAGGTATGCTTCTTTTTTTAGTATTATACTCTTTATGATGGATGTGTTCCATTCTATAGTTGTTCTTTCAGTCAGCACAATATATTAGAAACTTTGTTTTCCTGACCCTGAAGCCTACCAGAAAGTTGAGCTTAATTTCAATGTGATTGGCCCTAAGTGAAAAACTACAAACCAAGGTCACCTACTCTGCTCTTTCTTTTCACCTGGACAAATTGATCTGTTTTTGATGGCTGGCTGCAGATTTGTGAAAAAAGAAAGTGTTCTCAAAAATGAAAACAAGGTGAAATTTTCTTTTTTGCGTAACAGTGTTTTAAGTTTAAAGTTAACAGCTACATTTTTAAAGAATTAAGTGCTTCTTAAATTTTTAATAAATGAAACTTCTGTTTAATCACCAAAGACAGAACTACTTAAGGTTTTACTGCTGATATTTCTAAATAGCTGAAGATTTTTTTTTTTTTTTATTTGTAGCTTACGGAAACTGTTTAATGGTAAAAGTGCAACTGAAGAAATTCCTCTGCATATTTCTCCTTTAAAAAGTAATATATATAAGATTGCAATGTAATTTGTCTCAGTATATTGTCAGTATTTGTAGAAGAGTTTTAAAAATAGCCTGCCTAGCACTGTAGGCGTCAGGTTGCATTAACGATCAGGCTAAAAAAAGAAAATTAAATATACCCTGAAAAATGTGTCAATCTATAACTTCAGTATTTTGGTGATGGGAAAAAAAAAAAGAAGAAACGTGGGAAAACTGTTACAGCATTTGAGTAATTTCTTGAAGGAAATACAAGTGGTAGGATTTTTCCCTTTTTTTAATTATGCACTTTGTAAGCACTTGTCTACATTCAGAATAGTCCTTGTTGATTTAGTAGGTGAATCAACAACCTGAATCAACACTGAATATGATATAGGCACAAGCATAGACAAGATGTGCACTGTCTTCGGTGCCATTTATTAACTCGTGTACAGGTGTAGTTGCACCAGGGCAGGAGAGATGATGGGCTTGATAACAGTAACTGGAAGGATGCCAAATGCAATTGTAGACTTTGATGCATTCACATTTGTCAAATGCTGTCAGTTCCTTACTGGAAAATGTAGCTACACATCACCCTGAAGTTTTACATATCTGGCCTATTTCTTCACAAGAACTTCCCACTTGTGTGCAGATCATTTTGCCCAGAAAGCAGGTGCATCCTGTCTCCTGAGCATGCAAAACCCAAGAATTAATTAATCCCTGGCCACAGGCCACAAAGTGTAAAATTTAAATAGAAAATAGGTTATTCCTCCTTCATTGACACAAGACGCTTTGCTGTACAAAGCATTAGGAAACACTATGCCAGTTTCTAGTCAAACACAGCAAGCCACTGCATATAAAGGTGCAAAACTTTTTTGTTTTGTCTTGGTTTTGTTCTATTTTTACCCCGACCCCCAAGTTTCTATCAGGTAAAGAATGGAAGGAATGAAGACTGACATAACGTGAATGCAGAAACCCCCGCAGAGCTCAGGGCTCGGTGCCTTCCTCCCTGCCGGGACGGGCACAGCCCGCATGTGCGGGAGCGGTCGAATCAAAACAAACCAAATAATAATAAAAAAACAAGACCACACCATGAACTAGCCACAAGACCAAACCAGAACTAGTTCAGTGGAAAAGGTCGTGTTGAACCCTACAAGCCTTGAAGGCGTCTCTGCAGCGCGGTGCGGTGGGCGGGCAGCCGGCCCGTGCGGGACAGGGGCCGCACTTTGCGCGTCCCTCGTTTGCCACAGAGCCCTGAGCGGGCCGCAGGGGCTGAGGCCCGGCGGGCGCAGCCGCCCGCGGTCTCTGCCGGACACCGGCGCTCAGAGATGCCGCGGGGACGGAGCGGCTTTGCCGGACTCCCCCGGCCTAGCCCTGCCGTGACAAGGGCAGCGGAGCACCGCCGAGCCGGTGCAAACCCGAAGGGCGCGGCCCGGCTCGACCTGCGCCTCGCCACCTGCCCCTGCCCCCCGCACCGGCAAACCCTCCCCGGCCGCTGCCGCCGGCCCCCGCCGGGCTCCGCCGCCGCTCCTCCCTCGGCGTCTCCCGCAGCGGCGCGGCCGGCGGGTCCCTCCCATCCAAGATGGCGGAGAGTCTCCCCGAGCATGATCGGATCCTGCAGGAGATCGAGAGCACCGACACGGCCTGCGTGGGACCCACCCTGAGGTGCGGGGCGCGGCGGCCGCGGCGCCGCCGGCGGGTGAGGCTCCCCCGCCCTGCCCGCTCGCCGGCCCGGGGGGCCGCGGCGCGGCCCGGCCGCGCGTTCTGACAGGCGCTCCCCGGGGACGGCGCGGGGCCGCCGCAGCGCCGCCGGCGGGAGCGGCCGCGCCGGGTGCGGAGGGGACGCGCAGCCCCGCTGCCGCTCCGTGGGGGCCCGACCGCCGGCCCCCGTCCCGGGCGCTGCGGCGGGCAGGGAGCGGGGCTGTCAAGCCGTGCCGCCGCTCTGACAGGGAAGGGGGGCCGAGCTCCGGCTGGCCGCTCCCTGGCATTGTCAGCCGGGGCGGTAGCTGGGCACGGCCCGGCTCCGGCGGGGCTGGCGTGCGGCCTCGGGACGGCGCGGCCCTGGTTCGGCGCGGATGGCCGGGCTCGGGGCGCCCGCCGTGCCCAGTGCCGGGCTTTGCTGCCCGCCCTTGGGCACGGCTCAGCTTCGGGGTGTGCCGGTACCCCCGGCTCTGTGCTGAGAACGGGGCCGAAACCGAATCATGGGTGGGTGTTGTATTGCTCCACTGTGCAACCTCTAATGATGCGGTCTGATACCTACTAGTCCCTGGTCAGTTTGCTTGGAAATGTGACGGTGTTTAGAAGATTTCTGGTATGCCATGACTGCAGTGGTTTGGTTTTCTGTATTTTTCCTCCAATTCCACATACTGCCAAATGGCTTAGCCTGCATTTTGAAAAAAAAAGGTTTTGCATAACCTTTCCTGTTAGAGGCGAATGTGGAAGTACGTTTCACTTAGAGCTTGGGAGATAAGGGCAGGGCCTGTGGAAAGTGAATTGGGTTATTGAGGAAACACAGGGGAAAGGGGATCTTCATCATGGAGCTTTGCTGGTGCTTCCCCGATTAAAGATGTCTGAAAGAAGTGAAAAAAACATAGGCACTAGCCAGACGGGGGAGAGAACTGTGAATTTGAATGTTATCTCTTTGAAAAGATACAGTGAGCCTGTGTGCAGAAAACTGGAAAAGGCAGTTTGTGTGGCAGCGTGCTGCAGAGCAATGAGCATGGTGCTGCTGGCTTTTCCTGCAGTGGGAATGGTGCCGGCTGGAGAGCGTGAACCTGGCTGGGAAAGGATGAACATGGGCCGCATGAGTGAGAATTCCATCCGGAGAACTGGTGGAAGAGAAGTTTCTGTTGCATGCCAAATGGGTCATTTCACACATCACAGCAGTTGATTTTGAGGTTAGCTAGTGTGTCTGCAGTGGATCCTCCAAA